AGCAAGATCAAAAAAACTCAAAGTCTAGCAGAAGACAAGAAATAGCTTAGATCAGAGCAGAACTGAAGGAGATAGAGACACAAAAAACCCTTCAAAAAATCAATAAATCCAGGAATTAGTTTTTTGAAATGATCAACAAAATAGACAGACCACTAGCCAGATTAATAAAAAAGAAAAGAGAGAATAACCAAATTGATGCAATAAAAAATGATAAAGGGGGATATCACCACAGATTCCACAGAAATTCAAAGCATCATCAGAGATTATTACAAACAACTCTATGCACATAAACTAGTAAACCTGGAAGAAATGGATAAATTCCTGGACACTTGCCTCCTCACAAGCCTAAAACAGGAAGAAGCCAAAACCCTGAACAGACCCATAACAAGGTCTGAAGTTGAGGCAGCAATTAAGAGCTTAGCACCCAAAAAAAGCCCAGATCCAGACGGGTTCACAGTCGAATTCTACCAGACATACAAAGAGGAGCTGGTACCATTCCTTCTGAAACTATTCCAAACAATACAAAAAGAGGGAATTCTTCCCAAATCATTTTATGAGACCAACATCATCCTGATTCGAAAAGCCGGCAGAGACTCAACAAGAAAAGAAAACTTCAGGCCAATATCCATGATGAACATAGATGCAAAAATCTTCAATAAAATACTGACAAGCTGATTGCAACAGCACATCAAAAAGCTTATCCACCATGATCAAGTAGGCTTCATCCCGGGGATGCAAGGCTGGTTCAACATACGCAAGTCTATAAACGTAATTCACCGCATAAACAGAACCAAAGACAAAAACCACATGATTATCTCAATTGATGAAGAGAAGGCCTTTGGCAAAATTCAACAGCCCTTTATGCTAAAAACCCTCAATAAGCTAGGTATTGACGGAACGTATCTCAAAATGATAAAAGCTATTTATGACAAACCAACAGCCAATATCATACTGAATGGGCAAAAACTGGAAGCATTCCCCTTGAAATCAGGCACCAGACAAGGATGCCCTCTCTCACCACTCCTATTCAATATAGTACTGGAAGTTCTAGCCAGAGCAATCAGGCAAGAAAAAGAAATAAAGGGCATTCAAATAGGAAAGGAGGAAGTCAGATTGTCTCTATTTGCAGACGACATGATTGTATATCTAGAAGACTCCATCGTCTCAGCCCCAAGTCTCCTGAAACTGATAAGCAAGTTCAGCAAAGTCTCAGGATACAAAATCAATGTGCAAAAATCACAAGCATTCCTATACAACAATAACAGACTTAAAGAGAGCCAAATCAAGAACAAACTTCCATTCACAATTGCCACAAAGAGAATGAAATACCTAGGAATACAACTAACAGGGAACGTAAAGGACCTCTTCAAGGAGAACTACAAGCCACTGCTCAACGAAATAAGAGAGGACACAAACAGATGGAGAAACATTCCATGTTCATGGTTAGGAAGAATCAATATCATGACAATGGCCATACTGCCCAAAGTAATTTACAGATTCAACGCTATCCCCATCAAGCTACCAATGACCTTCTTTGCAGAACTGGAAAAATCACCTTAAACTTCATATGGAACCAAAAGAGAGCCCACATAGCCAAGTCAATTCTAAGCAAAAAGAACAAAGCAGGAGGCATCACACTACTGGACTCCAAACTATACTACAAGGCTGCAGTAATCAAAACAGCATGGTACTGGTACCAAAACAGAGATATAGACCAATGGAACAGAACAGAGGTCTTGGAAGCAATACAACATATCTACAACCATCTGATCTTTGACAAACCAGACAAAAACAAGCAATGGGGAAAGGATTGCCTGTTCAATAAATGGTGTTGGGAAAGCTGGCTAGCCATGTGCAGAAAGCAGAAACTGGACCCCTTCCTGACACCTTACACTAAAATTAACTCCAGATGGATTAAAGACTTAAACATGAGACCTAACACCATAAAAACCCTAGAAGAAAATCTAGGCAAAACCATTCGGGACATAGGTGTAGGCAAGGACTTCATGACCAAAACACCAAAAGCATTGACAACAAAAGCCAAAATAGACAAATGGGACCTAATCAAACTCCACAGCTTCTGCACAGCAAAAGAAACAGTCATTAGAGCGAATCGGCAACCAACAGAATGGGAAAAAATTTTTACAGTTTACCCATCTGACAAAGGGCTGATATCCAGAATTTACAAAGAACTAAAACAGATTTACAAGAAAAAACTAACAAGCCCATTCAAAAGTGGGCAAAGGATATGAACAGACACTTTACAAAAGAAGACATACATGAGGCCAACAAACATATGAAAAAATGCTCATCATCACTGGTCATCAAAGAAATGCAAATCAAAACTACATTGAGATACCATCTCACGCCAGTTAGAATGGCAATCATTAAAAATTCTAGAGACAACAGATGCTGGAGAGGATGTGGAGAAATAGGAACACTTTTGCACCGTTGGTGGGAGTGTAAATTAGTTCAACCATTGTGGAAGACAGTGTGGCGATTCCTCAAGGACCTAGAAATAGAAATTCCATTTGACCCAGCAATCCCATTACTGGATATATATCCAAAGGATTACAAATCATTCTACTATAAGGACACGTGCACACGAATGTTCATTGCAGCACTGTTTACAATAGCAAAGACCTGGAACCAACCCAAATGCCCATCGAAGATAGACTGGACAGGGAAAATGTGGCACATATATACCATGGAATATTATGCAGCCATCAAAAATGATGAGTTTGTTTCCTTTGTAGGGACATGGATGAACCTGGAAACCATCATTCTCAGCAAACTGGCAGAAGAGCAGAAGATCAAACCCCGCATGTTGTCACTCATAGGCGGTTGTTGAACAATGAGAACACATGGACACAGGGAAGGGAGCACTACACACTGGGGTCAGTTGGGGGGAAATAGGGGAGGGACGGTGGGGGGTGGGGAGCTGGGGAGAGATAGCAAGGGGAGAGATGCCAGATGTAGGTGAAGGGGAGGAAGGCAGCAAATCACACTGCCACGTGTGTACCTATGCAATAATCTTGCATGTTCTTCGCATGTACCCGAAAACCTAAAATGCAATAAAATAAAATAAAAAAAGTAACTTTGATTTTGTAGTTGTGTCTTAAGAAAGAGTAAAAAAATTACAATTTAAAATTTCTCATTGACTTTAAAAACAATTTATCTTTTCTTTTTTTTTTTTTTTTTTGAGACGGAGTTTCACTCTTGTTACCCAGGCTGGAGTGCAATGGCGCGATCTCGGCTCACCGCAACCTCCACCTCCTGGGTTCAGGCAATTCTCCTGCCTCAGCCTCCCGAGTAGCTGGGACTACAGGCACGTGCCACCACGCCCAGCTAATTTTTGTATTTTTAGTAGAGACGGGGTTTCACCATGTTGACCAGGATGGTCTCGATCTCTTGACCTCGTTCGTGATCCACCCACCTCGGCCTCCCAAAGTGCTGGGATTACAGGCTAGAGCTACCGCGCCCGGCCCAGAAACAATTTATATAATTTTTGTACATAATTGTAAATGTGTCCTTTTTTTTACTTAATAAGGAAAATGAAAAAAAAAAATCACATATGTCTTGTTGAAAAGTTGTGTTGTTGAAGAAAAACATCCAGAATATCTGTGTCTCCTAAATGTATTAAGTTAAATAATTTGAAGATTGCTTTTTGTGTTTGTTGTCTCTTTAAATATGACATTACTAAATATTTCACAAGTATATGATTAACTTTTTGAATTCACAGTAGTTATTCTACTTTTTAGTGATGTCAAAAAATTCTGCTTCAGTAAGATTGTATTTAAAAGATATTTAGAGTATTTTAGGGTCAATAATTACAAAACAAATTTGAAGATTTATAAAAATTGTGTGAATTGAGGTTTAAGGTTTTTTAAACTTTTATAATGTCTAAAAATGAAAACTATTGTTTGAGGGAAGAGGTATATAGAAGCTTTTACTAATTTAAAATGTTCTTATATAGAAATAATCACGTATTTACTAGTATTTGACTACTGTATAAATGGTGGACAGTCAGTGCACTAATCACAGGATGCTGTGATTGGTTTGTATATTTTAAGGGGGAGTATTAGAACAGGAACGATAATTTGAACTGTCTCAAAAGATTTTAACATTAGTTTGCAGCTGGCGTTATGTTAGGTTTCTGCGTTTTTGTAGTTCCGGGATTTTGATAACAGTTTCTTGGCTGTTATAGGTATTTTAGTAGTCATACATTGCATAAAGTGACCCAGCAGAAGCATGTAGAACTCAAATGTTCTCTTTTTGTTTCTGATGTTATTTTGTGTTGCTTATAATGAAAATTTTCCATTGTATGGCTTCTGTGATATCTAATGTATAGAGAAAAGAGTTACAAGTTTTTAATTCTTAACATTTTTCTTTTAGATTATCTGCAATTATGAAATGAAGTAACTCAAGATGAGCAAGTTAAAAGTGATACCAGAGAAAAGGTACTGTAATATCAATCTAAATATCAATATGCATAAGTTACAGAAGTAATATATGATGCAATTATTTGAAAGTCAATACTTGACAAAATATTGTGTTTAAGTATAGTATATTTATATAATTAAAAATGTTTATTAATGTTTAATTTTTCAGTTAAAATAGGAGTTAGCAAACTATGAACACCTCCTGTTTTTATATGGCCTGTGAGCTCAGAACGGTTTTATATATATGTATATATACATATATATATATATTTTTTTTTGAGACAGCGTTTCACTCTTTTTGCCCAGGCTAGAGTGCAATGACACAATCTTGACTCACTGCAACTTCTGCCTCCTGGGTTCAAGTGATTCTCCTGCCTTAGCCTTTTGAGTAGCTGGGATTATAGGCACCTACCACCACACTCTGTTAATTTTTTGTATTTTTAGTAGAGATGGGGTTTTACCATGTTTTCCAGGCTGGTCTGGAACTCCTGACCTCAGGTGATCCACCTGTTTTGGCCTCCCAAAGTGCTGGGATTACAGGCATGAGCTACCATGCCTAGCCGGTTTTTACATTTTTAAAGGGTTAAAAAAATATTATTTTGTGATGCATGAACATTATATGTAATTTGCATTTCAACATCTATAAATAAAGTTTTTTTTTGGGAACACAGCCATGCTAATTCATTTACATATTGTCTGTGGCCACTTTTTCACTAAAATGGCAAACTTGAGTAGTTATGACAGGGACTGCATAGCCCACAGTGTCTAAAATTTATACTATTTGGCCCTTACAGATAAAGTTTAGGCCAGGCATGGTGGCTTATGCCTGTAATCCCAGCTCTTTGGGAGGCTGAAGCAGGTGGATCACGAGGTCAGAAGTTCAGGACCAGCCTGGCCAACATAGTGAAACCCTGTCTCTACTAAAAATACAAAAATAGCTGGGTGTGGTGGTTGGCACCTGTAGTTCCAGCTACTTGGGAGGCTGAGGCAGGAGAATTGCTTGAACCTGGGAGTGGGAGGTTGCAGTGAGCCGAGATTGTGCCACTGCACTCCAGCCTGGGCTACGCAGCGAGATTCTGTCTCAAAAAAAAAAAAAAAAGAATATGTTTAACTGATTCCTGAGTTAAAGCACACTATATCATCTCTGTTAAAGTTCTTAAATACCAAGAAATTGTCTTAATGTTGGTTTTGTTTATTTCAGTTGAAAGACAAATCTGATTGATTATATATTGAAATTGTCTTGGCTATACAGCCATGAACAGATTATATAACTTTGTGAAGCCTCAGTTTTCTCATCTGAAAATTTATTACAATGATTTTAATGATACAATTATTTTAATGATAATGCTGTTATTATAAGACTGAGAAGATTAGATAGTATTTGGTTCAGTAATTGACAGTGTATTAATATTGGTAATAATGAAAGTTTCTGCTTTGTAGCAATGTTCTTATGTTTACATGTAAATAACTTTACATTTATAGGTATGCTTTAAATCTGTTTTATAATGAATAGTGTACACACAGTTTATTTAGGTGAGATTTATTCCTAGGTTTTTGCAGTTATTAACTCTGTAATACATCATACCAAATTTCATTTTAATCATGTACTTGTGTAATTTCTATAGGAAAGGAATTAGGCATTATTTGTATTTTTAAAATGATCCAAAAGCCTTACTTTTTGCATCAGGTCAAACAAATAATGCTATTTTTATAGATTAGCTAAACTGTCTAGCTAATTACTAGATCATTGTCCATAAAAATGTGAAATTACTTTTAGTTTGAAAGCCTCTGGCTACTAAGGCCATTTTAAATTTTTTCTTCTGAATTATATTTTATTGGATATTTCTTTTTGTTGTTGTTGTAGGGTAACTAAATCGGGATCACTGTAAATGGTCCTCATCTAAAGGAAATTATAATTTCTAGCAAAACTTGTCATACTGCTCTGTGAAGAAAGCTGAATGCAATAAGGCAAATTGAAATAGAAAAGGGTCAAAGTTCCCTTCCCATAGTATGGCATATTGAGACTGTGCCAGAGAACTTACAAGAATGCCTTCCAAGGGTTTGAGAAGGGGGGAGAAATAATACTTCCAGGTTTTATTTTGGATTTTTTTCTTTCCTCAAATTTGATGAGAGCTCACCAATTTTTAGAGAAAATCTTTTGTATACTTTCCATGTCTCTAGAGGCTTCTGTAGATACTCTATTTGATTTCTTTCTTTTTTTCTTTGCCTCTTTTTGATTTATGTCTCAACTATGAAATACTTTTATGTACCCAGCTTGGTACTAATCTGTGAAACTGGAAAAGAAGCATGAGTATAACACTTAATACAGTGTATTGAAGAAAATGAGTACTGAATTCACGTTCTGAAAAAAGAGCCCATTCTCTTTTTACACAAAACCTGTAAGCTGATAAAGAATATCTGAACAAATGCAGTATGAGAGACTTAACCAGTAAATAGTGAAGTGTCAAATTTTGAGGTGTACACAGTTAGAAAATAAGGTACGCATAAACAGGGGTTTATTGTGTGATAGGGACTTGAAGAGGCAAGGGTGGCTTGAGGGTTGGTGGAGTATTCAGAGTTACTGAATTTAAACAAGGATTCTGCCGGGCGTGGTGGCTCAAGCCTGTAATCCCAGCACTGTGGGAGGCCAAGGCAGGTGGATCACGAGGTCAAAAGATCGAGACCATCCTGGTCAACATGGTGAAACCCCGTCTCTACTAAAAATACAAAAAAATTAGCTGGGCATGGTGGCACGTGCCTGTAATCCCAGCGACTCAGGAGGCTGGGGCAGGAGAATTGCCTGAACCCGGAAGGCGGAGGTTGCAGTGAGCCAAGACGGCGCCATTGCACTCCAGCCTGGGTAACAATAGCGAAACTCCGTCTCAAAAAAAAAAAATAAAATAAAATAAACAAGGATTCTAATTAGATAGATTAGACTGGCAGATTTAAAGACCATGGTAATAGGTGGTTATTTAAATCAAAGAAGCACATCTGGTAAAATATAAGAAGCAGAAATTTTGTGTACAGCTCACTCTCTACCATTATGGTCATGCCCTAAATCTTATCACTAGAAAAACTGTAATTTCAAAATACTAATTTACACTTTTAATTATCCAACTATAATCTTTTACCTTTCTAGCTCACTTGCTCAAGTATCCGATCTCTAAGAGTTCTACCTCACCCAGAGCTCTAATCTGTTGACTTTTATTTTCTCTCATTCATCTCTTCCTCCTCCTTTTTTATTAGTATAGAATCTGTTGTCCATGATTATATATTCTTGCAGATACCTGAGATGTCTTTATCTTGCTTTAAATTTTTCCATCACACCCAAGGTACAAAGCTCTTACTCTGCATAACCTTTATTGAGCAACTGAATGACATTGGAGGATAAATTCATTTTGTAGATATCACTAAAAAAATGGTGACAGTGGATGTCCTTGTCTTTTTTTTTTGTCTTGTTTTCTGATCATAGGAGAAAAGCATTTATTCTTTTATCTTTAAGCATTTTGTTAGCTATGGGTTTCTGTAGATGCTTTTTATCAGGTTGAAAAAATTCTCTTATATTCTAGTATGCTGAGAATTTTTTGTCCAGTATGAATGTTTGAGTTTATGAAATGCTTTTTCTTTCTGTTGAGATGGCTGCAAGGTTTGTCTCTCTTAGTTTATTAATAGTTGAATTATATTGAATGATGTTCGAATATTAAACCAACCTTGCATTCCTGTGATTGACCTTACTTGGTCATGATATATTATTATCTTTTTCATATATTGTTGGATTTGATTTGCTAAAGGGTTGTTTAGAACTTCTGTATCTGTGTTCACGAAGCATATTAGGCTGCTTTTTCCATTTCTTTTAATGTTTTTTATCTGGTTTTGGTATTAAGTACTAGCCATATAGAATTTTGAAATCAGGAAGGATTTTCTCCTTTTCAGTTTTTTTGGAAGAGTTTGTATAAAATTGATATTTTTTTTTATATGCTTGGTAATATTCGTCAGTTAAGGCACCTTAACTTGGAATTTTCTTTGTGGCACGTTTTTAAAGTATAAATTCACTTTCTTTAATAGACACAGATAGTACTATTTAGATTTTCTATTTCTTATTGAGTGAGTTTTGGTAATTTGTGCCTATGGTAAGCTGAATAATGATCCCCTAGGAGATATCTGTGCCTTAATCCCAGGAACTAGTGAATACGTTGTATTACTTGGTAAAAGGGACTTTGTAGATATGAGTAAATTGAGCATCTTGATATGGAGAGATGATCCTACATTATCTGTGTGGGCCCAGTGTAATCATAAGGGTCTTTATTAAGGGGAAGGCAGGAGGATCAACGTCATTTGTAGGAGATGTGATGATGGAAGCAAAAGGTTAGGGTTACGTAAAAAGGAGGCTGTGAGTCAAGGAATCCTAGAAACTAGAAAAGGCAAGGAAATGGATTCTCCCCCAGGGCCCCCAGAAAAACCATTTCTTCTTACACCTTGATTTTAGTCCAGTGAAACTGGTTTTGGATCTCCAGCCTGTAATATGATAGTAAGTTCATGTTGTTTTTAAGCAGTGAGTTTAATGGTAATTGATTACAGTAGCAGTAGGAAATGAATACTTTCCTATGAAAGTATTAGGAAGCTAATGTCTTTCAGGGAATTTGTATATTTCTTCTGTGTTGTCTAATTTATAGGCATAAAGTTGTTGAAGTATTCTTTTATCTTTTTACTGTTTAGCATCTCTATAGTAATGTTGCTTTTCCATTCCTATCAGCCTGCTTGGAAATTTATCATTTCTACTGATTCTCAAAGTACAACTTTTGGTTTCATTGATTTTGCTGTGGTTTTGCATGTTTCTTTGATTTCTGTTTTGGTTTTTATTTCCTGACTTGTGCTTACTTTTGAGTTTCATGTGCTCCTTTTTTCTTATCTTTTACATTGAAAACTAAGGTCATTGATTTGAGACATTTCTGTTCTACTGTGGACATTTATTGCTATAAATTTCCTGCTAAATACTGTTTTAGTGATATCCTGCTAAT